TTAATGTATTCTTTGGTCTTCCTGTTTTCCTTTGTCCTTGAGGATTCCAAGTTAGGACTTGCCTTGTGACGCATTTGGGAGCTTTCCTCAATGTGTATCCTGTTCACCTCCAGCGCCTTTTTCTAACTTCTTCCTCAGCTGCAATCTAGTTTCTCCCCCACAGTAGGTTGTTGATGACAATATCTGAACACCGAGTCCGGATTATCTTGCGGGGACAACTATTACTAAACACATGTATCTTGTGGATTATGATTTTCGCAGTTCTCTAGATTGTTTTGACGTTTGGTGTCGGCTGATAGTTGTTTTGAGTTACAGATGTTCTTTAATCGTAAAAATGTTGCCCTTGCTTTGTTAATGAGTGCCTTCACATCAGCTCCACCTTGTTTATCAATGATGCTGTTCGAATATGTGAAGGTTTCTACATCCTCCAAAGCTTCCTCATCAAGAGTGATTTGGTTGGTTCATGTAGTGCCACATCTAAAGATCTTGCTTTTTCCCTTGAGTGTGCTGAGATCTACTTTTTCGGAGGCTGCTACTACACTGGCTGTCTTCTACATTCGTTATTCCGTGTGGTACAGAAGAGCTAGATCATCTGTGAAGTTCAGACTATATAATTGCATTCTAGCTATCCACTGTATTCCGCGCCTCCCCTCAGATATCATCGTTGTCTTCATAATCCAGGCAACCACCACTTGATCAAGCATTCGCAAAAGTTCACTTTGGGATATGCTTTATTGCGTATCTGTTACGGCAACTAGTCAGTTTAGATCACATACACCTCGATATATATATATATATATATATATATATATATATATATATATAGAGAGAGAGAGAGAGAGAGAGAGAGAAACATCATGGACTGTTCTTGTGACCTTTGACATCTATTAATTTGTTAATCAACAAATTACTCATAGACGTAGTGTCTTAAATAGTAGATATTATTGAAATAAGCTAATTTTTGATGTCCATGTTTTAAAATATATTTCACATGTCACCGTTTGTTTATGTGGATACTTCGATATTGGTCATATTTACATTCAAACTCAATGCTTATTGGTTCAAACATCAAAATATTATCCACCAAGTTATTTGATATAAACCCGCAACTATGAAATGCAGGTAAATCAAGTTAAAAAGTCGCATATAAGATTTAAATTACATCTTTAATCCTACTGCTAACCATAATTTCGAACAGATTTAGTTTACATTTCCATGAGTAAAATTATCAGTCCAAGGACTGTAGTTATTTCACTTTTACGAAGAAAATACGATTGATTAAACAGCAACATTCATCATTATAACGCCTCAACGAACATCTTTTTTATTCGTACTTTTGTACCGCATCTTCCCCTTTCGACGTCGTCATCTTGCTTTTTCTACTCTGTACCTTCACCCAATTGTCTGGCACGTTTCGATATTCTTTCGATACCACGAAATCGCCAACAAATACACTTATTTCATCTGGACTATCTCGTCTTTGTCTTTTTGATAAAAGAACTGAAATAACGCTTGGGACTCGAACGTAATTAGTTTGTTCATAGTCTTTCGACTAGAACATCTACAGGACTTTATATATTTCGTTATTTCATTAAATCACGTTAATAGATTGGGAAAAGTCATCATATGTGGCCCAGTTTACTTAGTCGTATACATCAGATAGATGATTTATCATCAGTCATACATTTAAATTGATCTATCAATATTGTTCAAAAATTATTCAATCTCTCAAGGTTGTTTTAACTAGTTCGATCTGATTGATTAATTACTTTATCAATGATTAAAAGAAGATTACTGGATTATTCAAAATTTTAAAATCTGACTATACAGTCAGTATACGAATGCTTGTATATGTTTACCGGAAATACATTGTATTACTAAACCTAAAATGTATAAACAAGTTGAACAGCAGCGTCACATTTAGTCTTATCTGATTCATTCGGAAATTTTACGTTTTTATTTTTGCACACAATAATGATTTGTAGCTATCAGTTAACAAAATATCTCCCTTTAAATGCTGAATTAGACTAAAAATAATGTTACACAAAAAAAGAGCTCAAACGTAATTCGTTACTGTTAGATGTTACGCGTTCAATTGGTTTATGAGAACTACAATTATAATAAATAAGTAGTAATTCGAAATACACCAAATATAATCCGGTAATAAGGAAACAGATATGATTGGTCAATGTCAGTGACAATTCTATTAATAGTTGGTCAATATGAAACCAGGTTAATTGGGAACATCGAGTATTTAGTTAGCAACAGTGTGTTTGTGTGCGTCCGCGTCATGCATGATGTAAAAGCCTATGTCAAACTTAAATAAGGATTTTGTAGTGTAGTTCAATTCTTTCAGGTGTAGGTAGTTACCTACCGAAAACGGTGGGTGAGGTTGCGCAATAATGTGGATCGACTGAAGTTAGAAATCAACACTGTTGAGTGCCAGTTCAGTAGTCTGGAGACTAGGCGTTCGTGTGCGAGACCAAAGGTCCTTGGTTAGTCTAACAATGATCGACATATGGTTTCAATGTAAAAAAAATTTGCTCTAATAACTATGACTGTGTAAGTCAAGTGAAATTATGAAAAATATGAGTAATGACGAAAATTACTCAAATTTAGTTTATTCTAACCGTCTTCGCAACATTCCCCAGAATTTTCTGTGGTACGAATACAATAATAATCAAATTATAAGAATAAACTCGCTGGTTAGGCACATATCAAAAATGTATGATGAAAGAATCAAAGATATTCGCAGTTTTGATGGACATATTTAAGTGCATTTGAGGTGACAGAATTGGTTCACAGCTGGGATATTTTGAAATCAGTTAAGAAGTTGAAGAACTGATCAAGGATTTTCAAAGTGATAACATACAACAAGGGAAAGAAGATATTGCTTCATCATCGAACGTTAAGACTGTTTGTAACCATATTTTTGCTACTAATTTAAGTCATTTCCTAACTTGAAAACATTCAGATGTTCTTTCAGTAACACAGTCATCTACTTGAAAGCTTGCCAGTGAGGAACAAAATTAATAGACGTTGAAGAACAAGTTGTTGGAACTAATCATAAGAAAAGTGAAATAATGCAACTTGATCATCCTCATTATTCAAAAAACACAATAAACGGAATAAATGTTATATTCAAAATTCCAATTGTGGTATTTTCGACACACGATCGATTGATAACTTCCTGGCTTCCACAATCAAACAACAAGGAGACAAAAACTGTTAGTTTCAAACGGCCTATTTTTATTTGACAATCACTGAATATCAATAAGATGTTCTAAATAATATATATAGTAATAAATTTCATGATCATCTTCAATTTCTAGTTTTCCAAAGCTAAACTACAAACAATCAAAATGAAGCAAGAAAAATATCAAAAGATTAAGGTTAGAGTTATAGATAAACTAAGTATTTAAATGGCTATTAACTTTCATCCTAAGCATTAATATTTGATGCTGCGCTTGAGATTTATTTGTTTCATTCAGATTTCGAACATTTTGTTAATAATTTTTACCTTGGGAATTATCCGTTTCACTTTCTTTTGGTTTGGTATTCTGATAGTTTTTGAGTGGCCATAGAGTCTAGATTGACTATGACCACCACTAAGTACTTATTAAGATCCTGTCACTGAGAAGAGGAGTTATTCCATAGTGAAGAATATATTTGCTGGCAATATCGAGGTATCGAAAGAATACCGAAATCATGCAAGAAAAGTTGGACGAAACTTTAGAGACAAGGGAACCGAAATGGCAGCAACACAAACAGAAGGCCTGCACGTACAAAGGTGTAATAGACAAAAAGTACAGTTAAACAATCACTGATACTATTGGTTATAATAATGAATGTTCCTATTAAACCAATCGCATTCTCTCAATCAAAATATTCCACTCCAGCAGCCCTCAGCTAGACAGGGTCTACACTTTTGATATGCCGTGCTGAGACTTCATCAGTCATCAGGTCATAGGTACTAATAAGATTACCGAGATAAGCGAAACGGTCGACACACTCAACTGCCTCACTCCCTATTGCTAGTTCAGGTGCCGATGCACCCAATCTTCAAGAAACATTTAGCATTTCTGAGGGTGAGAATGGCATCCCAAACATGCTTGCATTGTTACTTAGGGTAGTCAGAAGACTATGTATTTTTTCAGCGTCTTCACTGAGTAGGACTATGTCATCGGCATTTTCTAAGACTATGTGCGATCTTGCATGTAGAATGTCAACTTCTGTAATGTCAGACGCAGATAAAGAAATCTCTGAGAACATATACACGACAAAGTTAAACTAGAATGAAGAGAGTGGACAGCACTGACGACACCACTTTAATTAACTAATTCCGATTACAGTTCTCCATAAGCTCTGTCTCAACAAGTGGTGTTCGGGTAGAGAGCATGTATGTAGTTAGTTTACTTCTTTTCACACACAGACAGAGAACCTCATGATCGACGGGGTCGAATGGTGCTTTAAGGTCAAAGAATACAACTCTTGGGGGCCGTCGCATTTTGTCTGCGTTCTAAGACCTTACGAAGAGTGAATATTCGGTCTATACATCTTCGTCCAGGTTTTTTCTAGTCTCTTCTTCACGAGCTCTTATTAGGCGTCTTAATATAATTGAGGCTAAAATATTAGACACTATACTAGTTAGACTGACTCCTCTGTGACTGTCACAAGTTTTTTTGATCAGTCAAGTGGGATTATTTCCGGTTCCTAGATTCTACCTAGGATTTCAGTCAACCCTACTTCTTAAACTTGACCAACGTCCTCAAAAATCTCAAGATCAGGCCCTCAAGCTCTCCCTTGATTCAGATTTCTTATAGCTTTTTCATATTC